GTGCTCTGATTCTACACTCAGGCTCAGTGTTCTTATTTTCTTATTGTAGAAGTACAACATGTGAGTCAAGTACTAAAATAAATGACAGAATAATCTTCAATTTATATTATTCATTGCATCATTCCGCTTGCTGTTTCTGGGGTTTTCCCACATGCATGGGCAGATTATAGGGCGCGGGGCTGCATTATTTTTGTTTGTCATTACATTTAAGGCAGAAATTATAGAGGGCACTACTGAAGGTCAGTTAGGTGAGCTGATAAACATGAATATGCGTCATGCTGACTTCTCTCTCGCCAAAGCAGTGTTTGCTGCTTGTGGAGTCTGCAATACAATCGTACTGATTCTGAAGAATGAACGTTTAGTAATGCTCGAACACAAAGTAATAAGACATTTCTATGAATAGTTTTAATGGTGATTTCTCGCGAAAATTTCGTTCACATTCTTAAGGCCAACTCAGACAGCGTCGGCCGACGCAGCCCGACGCGATTTTGTTGTCGCGTCGGGTCTGTGTGAGTTGAACGCAGACGCGATGGTGTGCGTCGGGGGCAGTCTCGTAGTAGAATATTAAACGTGTTTAATATTTCTCACGACGGCTTAAGACTGTCCCCGACGATAAATCGGGTCGGGCTGCTTCGGCCGACGCTGTCTGAGTTGGCCTTTAGATGTACTATACACGCATATTTTATAAACATTCATTTTACCAAAACCGACGACATTCCATATACTGTTCTGACGTACTGTTTATTAAAAACTGTTTGCCAAGAAAATCAAGAAAACATGAAATACCCAATTAAAAAATTGAATACCTCATTTAAAAGGATCAAGACAGATTTAAGTATAGTTTTCACTGATTTGCAGACGTTTCTTTAAAATCATGCAAAAAGAATACAGCAAAATATACTCTCATTAACATTTTTAAGACATTATAATTAATACCGGTAAATGTGTCAGAAGTACTCGTAAATTATTGCCTCCGAGCATTTCTAAACGTTTATATCCTTCTGAAATTTATGTATGTTGAACCTTGGAAAAAGAATTTCATGTATTTTACGTGACAAAAAAAAGAAATTTGAACTTGAGAATCAGTTCTACTATAGTGGAAATACCATTGTTACAACACATGTAATATCATGGCATATTAATTAGGCCTATATCTATACTCAAATAGCCAGATTCAATATTACTGTGCTTTTTTATACTTTCAAAGATGAGCAAACGAACTAGAGTCATTCTTCCTAATTAATATTGCGCCCTCTATTTCCCAACATAGTCTCGATTTTTTACTGGGGGATTATCATCCACCACTTCTACCGCCTCAACTCTCTTTCCTGTCACGCCTTCATCCCATTCCGTGTTATGAGGGTAAAAGCTTCCGGTGTATCTACAAACCTAAGTTTCGTTAAAAAAGGCATCAAAAGACATCAGAATTATTAACTTCGATTTAATTATCTTCGGACGCGATCACCGTGTCATTTAATTGTACAGATTAGAAAATATCGCTGTGCACAAAGGTCATTATCATTGTTTTGAAGTGGTTTATATGTCAACATGTTTATACAGTATACTTGTATTTATGTTGTCGTTGTAGGAAGCAAGCTGGCTAGGTTGTTGAGTATAAAACAAATTTTGCCTGATTACATACGGTATGAGTTTACAAGTGTTTTGTTATCATAGATTTATTAATAGATCTACGGTACTGTATATTGTCATCTAGGCCTAACTAAACTTTAAGTCAATCAATCTATCAATAAGTTAATCAAGTTTTATTTCGGAAGTACTATATCTATATAACAGATATAAATATAAAGATAAATTTAAAGTGATCGTAAAGCTGTACCACCAACGCCTACCCACTGTCGTAACCCTGAAATCAAAAGATGGAAAACATGAAAATTCAACACATTTAATTATTTTTCTCTTTTACTGTATCTGTAACTTTTGTAATAGCTTACAACAAAAAACTAAAAAAGTAAAACATTTGAACGTGCAAAAGAGTAATAGTAGATGGCACAATCAAATCATTTAAAAAAGAAAATCAATCCTTTTGAAGACCTGACCAGACTCAATTTTTATTTGGCAAAACATGTGAAGTGTCTAAAATGTGATGAAGAACTCACATCATGACCATATATAGGCACGTCATGACTATATATGGGCACATCATGACCATATATAGGCACGTCATGACTATATGGGCATACAACAGTTTTATTGTGAAAGAAAACTTGAATTTTCAATCGGAAAATTGAGCCCAATTTTTATAATAAAATTCACTCTTCTGAAGCTGTAAACTTTGTTTCCCTTGTGTTGGGCTTTTTTAAAGGTTAATGCAATAACGCCTATCTCAGCGCACCCTCCCCCCACCCCACCCAACACCCGACTGGCTCATAAAATATTATACCGCAGTCTCACCATGACGGGTCCAGGAATTCTGCAGGGACTCTCATATACGGAGTGAGATGGCCGGAAATGGCACTCTCATACGTAAATTTGAATGGATTTTTTTTTCTTTCCATTTTTTTGTTACAATTTTGAAAAATTTTAGGGGGCCCAGGACGACTGAATCCGCCTCTGGCCGGCCGGCCTGAGGTTGTCTGAGCCCTCCATCTGTAAAGTCCTTTCCAGAGCTCCTCTATTTTGAATTCATGGATCTGCAACTGGTCCCTTGTTTATCGGAAAAAATATCTCGATTGAATTTATTTTCATAAAGTTGCTGGGAAAAACAGGAAATCAAATGAATACGCTCTATTAGAAATATTGTATCAACAAATCAATTACAGTAGTGTCAGTGGTGTTAGAGACGTGAGAGGACACTTGTGACCTATGTCATAGAAAATTACACAAAAGTTAAAGGCTATGCATTTATACTGCGCAAAATACTAGGGTCTCTCTATATATTCAAATTAAGTAAACAGATGCAATGATGTTAGGATAAGCTAGGACTATAAACTACAATAATTAAAGAAATTTTGTCTGTCCCTCAAAATAAAATTATGAACCTTTCGATCCGGAGAGTCATCGAACATAACTGACCAATCAAACAGGGCCAGAAACACAATGTTCCTTAAACACATGTTTGCGTTACATTTGCTCTGTTGTTGTTGTTGTTTTTTTTTTTTTTTTTTTTTTTTTTTTTTTTTTGTGGGACCTTAATGACAGTAGTAAAGGTGCGGGGAATATAGAGGAAAGGCCCGTTAATATACGTTGATACGAAATCAAGTCGGGACGCAAATACAGATTTATGGCTATTGGCTGTTTGATTGAATTGCTTAGCATAGTCTCCCGCTTATCCGATGCTGAGTTGATCCTTAGTGTTGAAAGAGGCCGGTAAGCTAAAACATGGCTAAACTAATAAAGAAGAAATTAACCAAAAGGCACAATAGGACAGTCAGAAAAGATTTAATGCCCAGAGAATATTTTGTTATTATAATCCTTTTGCATCAAATTAGCAAGTCATTAAATGAACGCTGGGTTGACTGGGAATCTTTTAATGTTGGTCTAATGTCTATTTTTTTTTTCATGCCGTTTTGTTGTTTGACTTTATTTGAAAGTAAAGCTATAGCCAGAATCTTTATACAAATGTACAAAGTTAAAGTTATTTTTGGAGAAGTAAAAACAGAACTGTTTAACATTGATGAAGGAGTTAATTAGGGATGTTCATTATCTCCAATTTTATTCTCAATATTTATTAATGAATTGCAAAAAAATGGTTCTTAACAAAGACCTAGGCATAACTATTTTTGGTGTATAAAATTGGAGCTCAGTTTTGGGCTGATGACGTGGTGTTAGTCGGTGAAGATGAGAGAGATTCAGACCTCCTCTTCCAATCAGAGTGATTTTTCTAGAAACTGGAAACTTGCCTTTAATTATAAGAAGTCGAATGTCCTTATTACTGGACAACGTCCCAATAATAAATATAAGATATGCAATCTTGGAAA